CTTTCCCTCCTCTGGCTTCCCTTTCTTTACGGCCCATACATGGCCACTGACCCATTCTTTGCCATCTCACACTGTGGATTCCCACCACCGCCTGTATGGTGAGGCTCTAGTCCAGTGGTTCTCAACCTTCTGGCCCTTTAAATACAGTTCCTCATGTTGTGACCCAACCATAAAATTATTTTCGTTGCTACTTCATAACTGTCATGTTGCTACTGTTATGAATCGTCATGTAAATATCTGATATGCAGGATGGTCTTAGGCGACCGCTGTGAAAGGGTCGTTCGACCGCCAAAGGGGTCGCGACCCACAGGTTGAGAACCACTGCTCTAGTCTATCCAGCTCCAAGCCTTCTCTCTCCAGGGTTCTGCCTAAACTGCCTAGTGATCGTCTCCAGCTGGACAGCCCACAGGAATCGCAGCTCACCACATCCAGCGGAGGCTGGCCACCCTTCTCCCAAGTTCTTTTCTGTCTTCACCTGGTCACGCGTGATCATGAGTGTTCTCACCCCCGCTCATCTCCCCCACCCCTCACCCCGCCCCTGTCTGCTCACCTCCAGGCTGGAAGTCTGTGTTCTTAAACTCAGCATCTAAATATTCCCTTTTAAAGTTAAAGCTAGAAGCCCCAGATTTTGTTTTGCTGCTTTTAACTTCCCACTCATACAAAATGTGGCACTGAGTTGGGCCTTATTGGTTGTAAGCATTTCTGCATTTTCACCTTAGAAGCTGGTCCAGTCAGCAGTGGTTGGTTTTGTGATGCAAATATAAGATTTTTTTGCATTAATTTTTTATTGTTTTAACATTGCATATATAACAAAATTAAGCAATATAGAAGTGCCCTTTAAAAAGTACACCTAATATTTATCTATCTATACAGGTCATTTTCTTTCTTTATTGTGGTAAAATAAACATAGCATAAAATTTCCCACTTTAACTCATTCTATGAGGCTGGTATTACCCTAATACCAAAAGCAGAACAAGACATTATAAGGAAAAAAAAACTAAAGACATATCTCTCATGAATATAGATGCAAAAAATCCTCAAAAAATATTTACAAGTCAAATCCAACAATGTATAAAAAGAATTATGCACCATGATCAAGTGGGATTTACCTCAGGCATGCAAGACTGGTTCAACATTTGAAAATCAATTAATGTAATCTATCACATCAACAGGCTAAGGAAGAAAAATCACATGACTATGTTACTAGGTGCAGAAAAAACAGTTGACAAAATTCAACACCCATTCATGATAAAAACTCTCACAGGAGAACTTACTTAACTTGCTAAAAGGTATCTACAAAAAACTTATAGCCACCCCTGGCTGAGTAGGTCAGCCGGTTAGAGCATCATCCCAATACACCAGGGTATAGGTTCGATCCCCAGTGAGGGCACATACAAGACAACCAATGAATGCATAAATAAGTGGAACAACAAGTCAAAGTTTCTCTCTCTCTCTCTCTCTCTCTCTCTCTCCCTAAAAATCAATAAAGAAAAAACCCCACACAAAAACCTATAGCTAACATCATAATTAATGGGAGAAACTTGAAGCTTTCCTGCTAAGGTCAGTAACAAGGTAAAGATGTTTCTTCTCACCACTGCTTTTCAATATTGTACTGAAAATTGAAGAGCAGTGGCTAATGCAATAAGATAGTGAAATAAAAGGTATACAGATTGGGAGAGAAGAAATAAATGGATAATGTGATTGTGTAGAAAACCCAAAAGAATTCACACACACACACACACACACACACACACACAAATCCAGTTTTGCTCAGTGGTTAGATTGTTGGCCTGCGAACGGATTCTGGTCAAGAGCACGTACCTCGTACCTCTGGTGCAGGTTTGATCCCTGGCCCAGTTTGGGGCACATGTGGGAGGCAACCAAGCAATGTGTCTCTCTCACATCTATGTTTCTCTCTCTCTCTTTCTCCTCCCCGCCTCACCCCTCCCTCCTTTCCACTTTTTCTAAAATCAATAGAGAAAAAAAATATCCTCAGGTGAGGATTAAAAACACACACACACACACCCTCTTGGGGCTAATAAGCAATTACAGCAAAGTTTCATGATACGAGATTAATGTACGAGTCAAATACTTTCACTTACGCCAGCAACGACAGTAGAATTTGAAATTAAAAACAACGCCTCCCCCTTTCCTGGGTCTGCCTCTCCCACCCCTTCCCCCAGCTCCCTGCCTCCTCTGCACACCCCCCTTTCCTCTTGGCCAACGCTGCTCTCTGCCTGGAGCATTCCCATCATGGGTCAGTGCCCCTCTGTCTGTACGACCAGCTTGGGCAGGCCCCCGGCCACTTTACTGCTCCTGAAGTGTCCAGGGGTCTTGTCCCCAGGACTGCACATGACCCTCTCTGTATCCCCCAGCCCCGAGTGGCCCCTCAGTGAGCGGATGTTCTTGGGGAAGAGCAGCTCTTTGCAGACCACCCCTTCTCTCGGACCATTTTGTTGAGATACAGGACACACTGATGCAGTCACCGCGTCCTCTTAACTGTCTATCAAAAAAGGCAGGGGGTGCCCTGGCTGATTTTGTTCAGTGGTTAGAGCGTCAGCCTATGGACCAAGGGGTTTCGGGTTTGATTCTCAGTCAAGGGCACACGGTCAAGGACAGGAGTACCTGGGTTGCAGGATCCCCACCCCATGGTCTCCATGTGGGAAGCAACCAATCAATGTGTCTCTCTCACAGCGATGTTTCTCTCTCTCTCTTCCCCTCCCTCCCTCCCTCCCTTCCACTCTAAAAATCGATGGAAGAAAAAAACAAACAACAAAAACCCAAAAAGTCAATGGAAGAAAATATCCCCGGGGGAGGATGAACAACAACAACAAAAAAGGCCGGGGGCATCCTGGCTCTTCCCTTCCCGTTCCTCCCACCTCTGACCCCACCTTCTGATCTGTCCACGTATCTGTCCACTCTGCCTGGGCCACCGCCACGCCCTCCCGAGGTCTCTCTAGTCCCGATTTCCATCCCCTCCCACCCACCCAAGTCTGGTCATGTCGTTTTCTTGCAACATCCCTCAGGACTCCCAGGTGAGGTCTGTCCTCCAAGGATGGGTCCTCCAGGTCTGGGCCTGCCCACCTCCTCGGCCTCCCCTCAGACCCCCTTGATCCCAGGACCCACCCGCTCCAGCTCGGGGACCGCTAGCAGCTTTCGGAGGTGGGTCACACTATCTGTGCTCCCTCCGCAGTGGGGCCTCCTCCGCCCTTCGCTGTGGGTGCCTCTGTCCTGCAGGCATCCCCTTGCGTGTGGTGTCGCTTCACCCGCCCCCCTCTCTGGGTGGACCTGAGTGGGGCTGACTCTTGTTCCCCTGGGATCCCGGCCTCAGCCTTTGACCCTGATGGGGACTCCATCTCTCCTCATGCTTTCCTGGGTCCTGCCCTTGCTCAGCGGTCCCTGCAGGACACGGAGACGCCAGTCCTGGCCTGGTACCCACAAGTGCTGACCCACCTCCCTGCTGCCCTGCTGGAGTAGCAGCCGATCAGCTCTCCATCCCAGCCCTTCATCCCGGCGGCCCCAGCATCCCTGGTGTGGGTTCCAGGCCGCAAGGCCCTCATCCTGTTCAGACCCCGCACTTTGCAGAGGGGGAAACTGAGGCCCAGAGAGGTGGACTTGTCAGCCCAGTTTAGGGGCTGGAGATGGGGCTGGAGGCCATTGAGCGTGGGCCCTGGAGTCTGCACCAGCTGTGTGACTTTGGGCAGGTCACCTCACCTCTCTGAGCTTCTATCCCCATCTGTGAATTGGATGACAGCGGGGTCGCCCTGTGGGGCAATTTGAGGGAGGTTCTGCCCCTAAAATGATTGCTGCCCAGGATGAGTGGGTCATTGTGCCACTGATTCTCTTAAGTGGTTCCAGATGCACAGCCCTTGGTCCAGGACTTCCCGCCACACAGAGAGGAGGGGCTGGGGCCACACGTCAAGGTGGGACAGACCAAGGCCCTCAAAAGTCCTCACCCTAGGCCTTTCCCACGGAGGTGTCTGTGTCCTGGGTGGGCTTGGGCCCCTGGGAGGACAGTCCCAAGAGGCAGCCCAGGCTGAGGATCCTTGGCTCAGGGCCTGGTGACCCGAGGACACCAGGGAAGGTACCCCCCACCTCAAGGCATCAGCCAGGGTCTGTGCCCCCTGCTCCAGGGAGTGGTGCCTACTCAGAGGGGGAGAGTGAGAACGTGGCTCATCAACTAAGACAGTGGATAGCAAATTGCAGCTCACGAGCCACATGGGGCTCTTTGGCCCCTTGAGTGTGGGCCAAAAATTCAGGTGACCCCTGGCTGAACACAGGTGACCCCCTGGCCCACCGGACGCTGGGCAGGAGCAGGTGTGCCCCACACAAGGCCCCAGGGGCCCAGCCAGGCTGGCAGCTGCGGTGGGGGCAGTTGAACCCTGGATCCTGACCACAGCGTGGCAGTTGGCACATGCCCCACTGGGAGAGACCCTCGGGAGTAACGGCCACGGCCCTGGAGGGGGCGGGGCACTGGGGGCAGCGACCAGAAAAGGCCCGGGCGGATGACAGGGCCGTGGCCCGGGCGCACGGAACAGGGCCGGGGCCCGGGCGCACGGGGACAGTCACTGTCAGCAAGAGGGACAGAGGCACCTGCCAGCCTAACCCTCCCCACTGGACGCGTACGCCAGCAGGTCAGCCAGGGGTGCCTTGGACCCTAAGCGCGGATGAGGCCCAGAATAGGGCCGGTGGGCTATGAGGCCCGCAGGGGGCAGAGCCCTGGCTTCAGGCAGCACTGGCCCCTGATGCTGCTGGGCCTGGCCGTGGGCGCCCATGGCCTGCTGTCCTCGACCACGGCACCTCACAGCAGGGCCCCAAGCTCTGGAGCCCCGACAAGGAGCTTCCACAAAATACCGACTTCTGTGCATGGGCCACGAAGTTTTAATCACACTGTACGTGCACGCCCGCACGTGGTATTTTGTGGAAGAGCCACACTCAAGGGGCCAAAGAGCCGCATGTGGCTTGCAAGCCGCAGTTTGCCGACCACAGGCTAAGAGAAGGAGGCCCGCTCCCTGGGACAACAGCACCCACACCCGCGGGGACGTCCTGCCCCTGCCTCCGTTTCTGCCCCACCCAGAAGACCAGGTGAGGCACCAGTCTTGGGTGCACAATTTAAGGGGTGCCAAAAACCCCCAGGAAAGAAGACAAATACATTTCAATACAATATTAAAAAGTAAAAATCAATGCAAACAAATCCACACCGAACAAAAGGTCAACCCTCCAAATAAAGCCAGCGTCTGCCCAGGCCCCTGGTCTCCATCCGACCCTCCCTTCTCTCCCCTGGCCCCTCATTGCCACGCTCTGTCCCCCACTCCCAGTTTGGGCTCAGGGACCCTCAGGTCCCCCACATGACTCACTCCGTCCCTTACCTTCCCCACAGGCTCCTAGGGCTGCTCCTTGTTGGGGCTCCAGAGCTTGGAGCCCTGCTGTGAGGTGCCGTGGTCGAGGACAGCAGGCCATGGGCACCCACGGCCAGGCCCAGCAGCATCAGGGGCCAGTGCTGCCTCAGGATCCAGGGTTCAACTGCCCCCACCGCAGCTGCCAGCCTGGCTGGGCCCCTGGGGCCTTGCGTGGGGCACACCTGCTCCTGCCCAGCGTCCGGTGGGCCAGGGGTCACCTGAGTTCAGCTGTGGCCTGGGCCTGGGGCTCCTCTTCTGACCAGACCTGGGCGGTAGTGGTGACAGGGGAGGAAACAAGTGTTGGTTTAGCAAGAAGCCAATGTTCACGTCAAGGATCGTGATGTAATGATAAAGATTATAAAAGCGGCACGACGCCACATCCAGCTCATGTTCGCAGCCGCCCTTGCTTCAGAGCCTGTGCCCCAGTCCCCACAGACCCAGTGTGTCCTGGGCAGCACCACGCCCATGGCTTGTCCATCTCCGCGAGGCTCTTCCCAGGGCCCCAGGGTGGATTTCATGGATGCCACCTGCCCTGGTGGAGCTGGGCCACCCCGACCCCCTGCTGGAGTCTGTCTAGCCATGGTCAGGGCGCTGTAACCGACTGACCGGCTGATGTCTCGGGGCATGGAGGAACCCCTGGGACGCCCCTCATCCAGTCCAGCTTCTCCCTTTTGAGGTGCTTAGTCCTTTGTGCCTCTGACCTGGGCTCCCCCGGGGAGCTGTCCCAGGGGTCCAAGCTGAAGCCGCTCCATCCCAGAACCCCCGTGTGGGTGTGACACTCACCAGTGCCCAGGACCCAGAAGTAGGGGTTCCTCTGGGGACAGCCCCAGGTCTCAGAGAGGTGAAAGGACTGTCTCTAAGCCGGGACCGCAGCTGCTCCCTCCACCTCGGCCCCTCTACCTGCCTCAGGCTCTGGGCAATGGCTGCTGGAGACCACATCCTCTTGTGGTGGCCACGGTCAGGAATCCAGACCTGGCTGGACACTGAGGGCCGGGCCAGGCTGGGCCTGCCCAGGTGGTGCAGCTGCAGCCGGCCGCCCAGGCCTGCTTCCTCCAACCCTGGCTCCTCTGTGCCCTGTCCTGCCTTCTCTCTGGGAGCAGGGGGTGTGTCCCTGTCCAGTCACTTCTGCCCTGCTCCGTGTCAAAGGGCACCCGCCCTCCCCCGGCCGCCTGCTGGTCACTCCCCTGCTCACTCTCCACCCCACAGGCCTGAGTCATCGCTGCAGCCACCATGGACGCTTCTCTTCCAGGCCATCATCAGAGCAGGCATGTGGACCACTTTCCCGAGGTCCCAGGTGCAAATTTTCTAGAAAATCCCAGGTTCTCAGGGTCACTGGACCTGCAGGATGACTCCTGAGCTGCCTTTGGGGTAGTGGCTGCTATTTTGGAAGGTTCAAAACGTCTACAAAGCCGGGAGGTTTCATTCAACATGAGGGTGATGATGTAGCTGCCAGTGTGATGGTTAATTTTATGTGTCCACTTGGCTGGTCACAGTATATATATATATATTCTGCTACTTTTATTTTTAAAAATGAAAAAAAAATGTTTTTATTGATTTGAGAGAGAAAGATAGACATATCAATGAAGAGAGAGAATCATTGATTGGCTGCCTCCTACACACACCCTAATGGGGATCAAGCCCACAGCCAGACATGTGCCCTGAAGGGGAATCGAACCGTGACCAACCACCGAGCCACGCCGGCCGGGATATACTATTTTTGACACATCAACATGTTCTTGGTTGGGAACCAATTTTACTGGGCTTGCACTGGCCAAAGGTAGAATACTTATAATAATTGCCATGGATTTAAATACCTCAGCTATGCTTATACCCATGCACTACTAGTGATACTAACAAACTCAAGTTGTGCGATGCTGGCACACTGACTTGTTATTTTGATCGTTGGTAAATAAAGAAGAAAAACATCAAACACTGATCTTGCCTTTGCTATAGAAGCAATCCCTCAGGCGACTAAATCATTGATGAGTGGAAGTGTTCTTTGTAGAAGTTTTCTAGTTAATAAGCGAAGCAGAAATGCTAGAAGGAAAATATCTTCATTTTGCATCCCATAATGAACCAATGGATTTGAGTGTTGTGCATACATCACAAACATGCGACTTAGGATGAGATGCCAGAGCTCTTTGTGTCCTAACGGGCCTCCACGTGTTAATTCCACCCTCCCTCTTTCCGTGGGGCCACCTCCCGTAGCTCATCTTGCCAAATCATGTCACAACCACACTGGCCTTGGGTAGGCACGGGGAGCCCTGGCATTTCCCTCCATCTGATCGGCATGCTCCATCCTCCTCAGGCCCCTGGTTCTTCCTCAGATACCCTCCCAGGGGTCTCAGAGTCCAACTCAGGTCAGAATGTTTGGGTCCCTCGTCTTTAGCACCACTGCTGACGTGTCCGAGCCCACTGGGTTCTATGTTTCTGTGTAAAACTTGGGAGCTCCATCAAGCCTTTATATGCACAAACCACAGCTCTTAGCACTCCACACTCTTGTTCCGTATCACAGTCAGGAGCCCCGTTGACACTTTGCTATGCCAGGCAGCAGATCCCAACAGTCTGGGAATCCCACCTTCTCCAATATCTCGCGTCTCCATTACCAATACAGAACGTATCCCAAGTGTTCCTGTCCCTGCATTAGTCTATTTCAAGCTTTTTCTTTCCTCACCACTTCTGGTTGCTGATTCTAATCACCGGTGTCACATACCAGGCATCAGAAGGTGTGTGTGTGTGTGTGTGTGTGTGTGTGTGTGTGTGTGTGAGAGAGAGAGAGAATGGTGATAGAGCTTTCCCTTCTTAGGGAGTCACAATGACCGCAGCCATCTAAGGGGATCCTGGAATGGCAGGGTCTTTGGAACCCACGGCTTCATTCAGTTATGCATGCGTTTACTCCTTCATCTCTCCACCCAACTCTATTATTACCTAGCGTCCATCACACACACAATGAGATGAACGGATCTTGCCCACTGAGAATGTGCAGTTTCGTGGAGGAGAGAGACTTGCAAAATAAACGTAGAGCTGCGTGGCAGGTGCTAAATATAGTTAGGAAAACACATAGACGTGCAGATCGCAGGAAGTCAGTAACTGAATAAACAGATCGCAGGTCAGGGGAGTCTTGCCCAAGGAGTGAGATTTGAGGTCATGGTGGAACCCTGAGTCTGTGCAGCCTGCTGGAGGTCACTGATAAGGGGCAGCAAGGAAACACCCTGAGCAAAGGTTTGGACGCAACCAAGAGAAGCAAGTGTCAGGTCAATTGCAGGTGGTTTAATGTGACACAGACAGTGGGGGGGTTGTGGGGGGTTACACAAGACATAGGACTTGGTTCAGAGCTGGGCCCCCTCCAAAGGCTGTGTCAGGATAAGGAGTCTGAATTTTCTTCCTTCAACCTGTCCTGTCCTGTCCTGTACTCCTTGGGAACGTGGCTGGTCCAAACGGAGATGAACCACAGTGTAAAATACACACTGGATTTTGAAGATTAAAAAGAAAGAGTTTAAACCATCTTATAACTAATTTTATATTGATTGCATGTTGAAATGACAGTATCTGGGATATATTGGGGTAAATCTGATTTCACTTGTTTCCTTTTAAAATAAATGTAGCCAGGAGGAAATTGGAAATGACAGAAATGGCTTGCGTACGTGCCGTTGAGAGCGGGAGACAATCCAAGGTTAGAGAGAAGGAGTGCAGGCAAGGCTGGATCTGGGAATAATGAGGGGATTGGACTAGGGAGAAGGCCAGGCCTGGTGACTGATGAAGAAGTAATGATACTTCTATTTCGTTGAGCGCCCATTATAGTTAAGCCCAGGTAAGCACTTTATATGAATTTATGGGTGCGATTATTATAGTCTTTATATACAACATTGGAAATGCTGGCCTAGAATTCAACTGACCCTGCCAAGGCTGCCCGGAGCTAAGACCCACACTCTGCCTGGCCCGAGGCCTGAGGCAGGGTCTGGCCCGCAGGAATCTGGTGGGGCGGGGGCATTAAGGTGATGGAGGAGCCCGGTACAACGCTGGTTCTCTGGGTCTATTGTCATAGCACGGAATCCCGGAATGATGAAGGATGGACGCAGAAGGGCAGGTTACAGGCAGAGACGGGTCCTTTGGGACCACCTGCCTGGCCTTTAACAACATGAGCCTGCCCTAGCTGGTTGGCTCAGTGGTTGGAGGTGGTCCCATACACCAAAAGGTTGTGGGCTGGATTCAGGTCAGAGCACATACCTAGGTTGTGGGTTATCTAGGTTGAGGGTGTGATCCCTGGTCAGGATGCGTACGGGAGGCAACCGATCCATGTTTCTCTCTCTGTCTCCCTTCCTTCCTCTCTAAAAATCAATAAAAATGTAGTCTAGCTGCATCTCTCTCTATGTAGCATGCCCACACCTTTCCCCATCCCCTTTTTCACACCCTTTTCCCCCAGAGCATGCCCTCCCTCTCTCTCTCTCTCTCTCTCTCTCTCTCTCTCTCTCCCCTGAAGTCCAAGGGCCCTTCTTTTGCTATAACTTGTTTTTGAGCCCATTGTTTCTACAACTCACTTCTACCTCTGTGACTTTCTAAATAAACTGTCTCTTGCATAAAAAAAAAACACCCCCCAAAACCAAAAACATGAGCCTGGAGTCTCCTCTTCAGGAACAAAGGCCTGATGCAGAAAGAACACTGTGCATTTGAGGAAGTGAGAGTTCAAAGGGCACCTGAAATAGGCTATGAGCTGAGGCCATTGTTTTACAAAAGAGACTCAGGCACCTGTGCCTGCCTTTCTGGGGCATGCCCTGCCCCCGGGTCATTTTAGCCATGATAAGTGGGCGTTCTCAGCCAAGTCTGGGGGCACAGAGGAGATGGTGTGCCTGGCACCTCTCTCTGCATAGGATGTGACCCACCACCCAGGGGCTCAGGGTGCTGCGCTGTGGGTCAGGGTTGCAGGAACTCACCTGTTCCCTCGTCCCCCAACAAGCTAATTGGGGAGCCCACGCCCCTCCTGCCTCCAGGTCCTTTGGTGGGTCCAGAGGTTTAGCATCCCTGGGACCGTCAGGCAGGAGGATTTGAGGGTGACCTCGATCACCACACCAAGCATGGCTTGTTTAAAACCTAGAGGCAGGAACTGGGGTGCTTCTCTGGATCAGAGGTTGGCAAACTGTGGCCCAAGTGCCGTATCCGGCCCAGCCCGTCTGCTTCTGTGAATGAAGCTGAACAGGAAAGGCCACGCGCACTTGTTGACATATTGCCTGTGGCTGCTTTCGTGCTATCAGGACAGAATCAGTAGCTGAGAGAATGTATAGTCATTGGCCTGGAAACCCAGTTATTTACTACCTGGCCCTTCACAGAAAATAGAATCGCCAGGCCTGCTGTTCTCCTGCACAGAAGAGTACATGCATTTCTCTCACCCTGGCCAGTGGTTCGCAACTGCAGGGGTTTTGCCACCCTGGGGACATCTGGCAACGCCTGGAGACACTTTCGTTGTCAGAACCAGGGGCGTGAAGGCGCAGGGACTGGCATTTAGTGGGCAGAGGCCAGGGATGCTGCTCAACTTCCTACAGTGCACAGGGCGGCCTGGCCCCAATGCCAATAGCCATGTCTCTAGACCTATCACTCAGCATCCACTCTCCCCAAAGGCCCAATAAAGGCCTCTCTGAGCTGGCTTACTCTGTAACTTCTGCAAATAACCAGGTGACAGCAGAGGGTCCTGTCCTTGGCCAGAGAGTCCCCCCAAAGGTGCTATGTCAGCCCCCTGCCCCCATAACCCACAGGAGTCCGTCTCTTGGTACCTTCGTTGGTTCTTGGGTGCGTCCCACCCATTTGACCTTACACAGAGCCGCTGGGGCCACCTTAGTATAATTCAGCACACCGGTCAGACCACACAAGTTCCCAAGACACAAGCAGCTTTAATCCCCCAATCCAGCCTCCAACGGGGGCCCAGCTGGACAAGGAGCGACTCCTTCGCTCTGCACAACCCACGGCCCACCCTCCTCCTCGCCCGCTCTGTGGCGATGCGCGCCCTTCTGGCCTCAGTTCACGGTAAGTGTGTCTGGGGTGCCTGGGACACTGAAGCAGCAGGCGCCTTTTCTTCCTCGTCCTCCGTCTCCATCTTATCCCTCTCCAAGCTCTGGGTGCCCACAGCACAGTAGTACATAGCCTCATCCTCAGGCTGCAGCCCAGAGATGCTCAAATACCCCGTGTTCTCGGCCACATCTTTGGATCCGGAGAAGCGTGGAGGGACCTTGGGGCCCTGTCTCTTGTCTGAATGGGAGAAATATCTCAGCAAGAATCTGGGAGGGTGTCCGGGCCTCTGCTGGTACCAGTAGATGCTATAAATGCTGACATCATGGTCCTTGCTCAACGTGCAGGCCAGACGGATGGTGGTTCCGAGGGGCGAGGACACAGAAGGTGGCTGATCCAGCATGGGCTGAGGACCACAACCTGGGGACACAGAAGGACATGGACACCCGGGGCAGGGCAGGGCAGGGCAGGGCCAGGGGAGGGGCCAGCAGCTGCGAGCTCTGGGGAGTTCTCACCTGTGAGGTAGGCGAGGAGAGCCAGCAGGACAGGAGCCCAGGACATGTTGCAGACGTGCCGAGCTCTGCCTCCTGAACTGTGCAGCCGCCGCTCCTGGGGCTCTCTGGGGCTCTCTGGGGTCTGGGCAGCCTCCTCCTCCTCCACCCTCCCAGGGGTGGGGCCATTGCACACCCAGTTCCAGCCACCGTCATCCCAAACTTTCTTGGGGTTGCAGCATCAGTTAGGGGAATGGTCCCATGGTGGCCTTTGTGGCTCTGGCCTTGTCCTCATAGAAGCATTCAGGGAGGAAACACCTGCTGGAAGCTCATACCCCAGTGCCCAGGAGGCCAGCCCGCAAGCTTGCGTCCCTGAGGGAGAGCGACCTCAACGTCCCCTTGGGAAAGCCGAGCCCCGCAGAAACAAGATTCGTGTCCAAATTTACATGCCTGGTGAACTGGGAAGAGGACGCATCCTGAAGGTGGTGAAACACCTGCTCTGAGCAACAGGAAATGTTGGGCCCTGATGGTGAGTGAGACACTGTTCCCTCCCACACTCCTAGCACTTGCTACCCACAATCCTAGAGCAGCTCTCCCCCTCACCACGGTCCAACCCAGGCCCTACCCCAGCCCTGCTGACCGCTCCTCTCCACCACAGCCAGCCTGCGGGTCCACAGGAGGGCTGACCCGCCGTTCCCTGGGAGGCCTGTGTAGGGGGCTCAGCCGCAGGGCTCTGGGGGCAGAGAGCACTGGCGCGCTGAGAACACGCTTGAGACCCTCAGGTTTCCTCCTGCTACGCAGAACGAACTCCTGAGCTGGATTAAATGAGCGGTGGGGTTCTGGCTTTGCTTCTCTGCCAACGGGTTGCACCACTTAGAGCCAACCTAAGCCATGGCCGCTAGATACACCTGGGGGCTGTGTGGAGAACAGACCTTAGGGTGGCAGGGTGAAGACCAGGGGGATCAGTGTGGTGGCAGCCGAGGCAGAGGGAATTGATTGGATCTCAGATATATTTTTAAGGCAGTGACGGATAACGAACAAGCGAGAGAAGGGGGAATCCAGAATGCTTCCACGGCATAGGTTTTGAGCAACAGGGAAGATGGAGTTGCAGTTTTGGAGACAGAGAGCCTGCCAAGGAGGGGGTTCCGAATCAGAATTTCTGTTTTGAAAGGGAAATCTCATGTGACTCTTAATTTTGGGCATTTCTCAACCTTAGTTTGGCTATTGAACTTTTTTATCTTCTAGATCAGTGTGACCCAACCATAAAATTCTTTTCACTGCTACTTCATAACTGTAATGTTGCTACTATTATGAATCATCATGTAAATATCTGAGATGCAGGATGGTCTTAGGCGACCCCGGTGAAAGGGTCGTTCCATCGCCAAAGGGGTCGCGACCCACAGGTTGAGAACCACTGTTCTAGATCATCTTTCAGGGCTAGTATTCCAATAAAAGCAAGTTGGGAAAGTGTCTACAGGGCCCAAAGTAAATGTGTATATGCTATTGTTCAAAATATAATTAAAATATGGTCTGGCAAGTTATTTTAATTTTTACATAACCCTAGTGCTCTTACACAAAAAATTACTTTTTGATAGATCCTCCCTCCCCCCAACTGGTGGGCGGGGTATGACGTAACCTGCAGCCCAGAAATACCTGAGTGACTAACCAGGTACCTTATATGGACTATACACTGGACCACCAATCCACACCTGCCAAATGCCCTAAGCCCTTGTCCTTTATGGACAACGCAGTAAGCCACCAATCAGTGTGCGCCGAGTACACTAAGCCCCCCGCCCCTTCCCATTCAGCCCCTCAAAAGGCATGCTCACCCCAGCACGTGCTGCTGTCCTCCCCTTGTGAGGCAGGTGCTTCTCCTCTAATAAAGCCTGTAATCCTGGTTTTAGGCCTCCGTCTGAGCTTTCACTTTTCTTTTCCAATTCATCTTCCAGATATATTTTACACAGTTCATTCATTCATTCCACAAATGTTTATAGTACTGAAGGAAGCCTGCTATACACACGTGTCGCTTTCATTATTGTAATTATTAACAGCATGCATGTTTCCTTGCTTATCATCCAGTTTGTTCATCATTATTGTAATGATTATTGTCATTATTGCTTCCCCACGGCGGGAAAGAATGCGGACCGCCAGGGGATCTGCGTTGTCCAGGACCGCCCCCCAACCCCCCCACCCCCTCCCGGAACGCACAGAGCACGGAACCCAGGGAGGGAGACGTGCGGGTGCCGGAGGGCAGACGCACGGGCGCCAGCAGCCGCCGGA